TTATCTGGGGAAACCTCGTTTATATGCGAAATATATGTCGTATTATCGTCGGTGGTGCGTTTTTGAAGTGTAGTGGCGTGGCGAGTAGTGGTTATCTTCTTCAACTCATAAAGCTCTAGTGCTGACGTGAGCTTCTCCCGTTACGTTTGCCTTAATCTCCACGCTTGGTAAAAGGATTGAGAATCACCATTTTGGGTGTTCTACGTCTAGCGTCAATGAGATAGATATAGCGCCATCTTTCGGAAGCCGTAAGATTTTCTGACATTTCCCATAGTCATCTCTTACAACTACAAAATGAAATGAGGAGATGGATTCACGCACGCCTTCTCCACGCATAACATTCAATCTTATTTATTAGTATCAATTACACATAGCGAATTTCCACTACCCTATATCCTTCTACTTCATATCATCTCGTGGGTGTTTTTAAAGACGATAAACGGGAATTAGAAACAGGAGATGGGCAGCATCGACAACAATAGATACAATCTATAGAGAGGCCTTCACTGGGCGGTAAACTTTTAATAGGCTGTTACGATAACGAAGATTTTTTTTTAAATAAGGCGCGGGTCTGGCTCATGGGCAACAGTTCAAGTGTGGTCTCGGCTATGAACACCCCCTGGACTTGACACTGGGAAAAGGTAGGAGTTTTCCTTTTTGCGTGCATCAAGTACACAAAAGAACGCAACACGAGCATTTTTAAATACGTGCAGGACATGCGCGTGGTGAAAACAAATGAGCACAAATAAAATTGTTTTACGAGCTGTTTACAAGCGTCGCGCATGCGTCGTGGTGGCCTTGACCTTGCGGTCACGTGGTTCGCGGCGCCACAACCTCTATCTCAGAAGACACGTATGAATATATAGAATATAATGAGAGAAGAACGACAAGAAAAAATGGGCAAGTCAGAATCATGCTAATATCACAGCCTAACTTTAGGCATTGATAATAATGGATGATGACTGGATGACTTTTACCGTCTGGAAAAATATAGCACCAATACTAATATTTTAAATTTTCTTAAATTTTACATTGACATATTATGAAATTGATGTATCAATAAATACTACTAATATAACCCTTCAATCCCGGTGAAATTCCCATGCAGTCGCATGCGCTCCAAAGCCCTTAATTCAATAAAAATCTTTGTAAATTTCAATATAATACATGTTTCTGTTTATGTTATATTACTTGTTTTTGTGGTTTTACTTCATTACAAAAAGATTTTATTGTATTTTGATAACAAAGCGCCGGTCGGCAGCGTGAAAATCAAAATTATTTCTATATATCACTCGAAATTACACCAATACTGGGTACTACCACCTGCTTGGGTGGTACCACCACCCTGCAAAACTTCAAGGCACAGTCAGTTCATTTTTCATAGATCGGACCATAAACAATAATTAAAGAAGCTGAAGGTATTTCGGGTTTAACAACGACATCGGGACGTCAGTCATCTCAGTCCCCCGTGACCATGGGTGATGGAAAGCACCGAAAACGTCGGGAATTAAAAATATTTAAAATTAAACGTGATAAAATTCGTAAAAGTAGTTTTAATCAATAATACGTATCCAATCAGTAGTATTTATTGATAGATCAATTTCATAATATGTTAATGTAAAATAAAAAAAATTGTAAAATATCAATGCCATATGCTTTTATACCATTCACCTGTTACACCCTATTTTTTCCAGACGGTAAAAAAATCACCCAGTATATTACTACTACCGTTCGCGAACCTATTTCAATATGACGATATTTAATTGCAGAGATTCAAGAGAGCAATTTATGTAAACTTAAAAAAAATTATATGTAAAACTGTAAAACAGTGTAACGAATCTGATATTTCTGCTATTAGATAAGGTATTTTTCTGCTAAACAGTTAATTTTAAAAAATTGTGTTCAACTATAAAAAGTACAGAGAAATACTCAGCAACGTGAAAAAGATATTTTTATTCAGTTATTCATCATTGCACCTGTGTATATGTATGTATATTATTAAAAAGTTAAGTTATAAATACTTCCATATTACTAATATATTTATTTTTAAAGCATTTTACCAAAATAACATTATACTTAAATTACGTAAAAAATTTAAGTTTTAGGTTTCAATTGCCTATCATTATAAAAACAAATGAAATTTGTGTGAATTTCAATACTCATAAAGAAAGCTACTTATTACATTTTATAATTTCAATCGTGGGTAGGGAGATAAACAATTTTGATTATTTTGTCTTGTGTTTTATATTACTTATTACAAATGTACAGCTTCGGTTTGGGCAGAAAGAAATGGAATTATGGCGTTTCAATAAGTATAAAAGATGCGACCCATTCATTTAGAAGGTTTTTTTATAGGATATTTTACAGATATAAGGGTAACAAGCGAGCAAACAGTCCACCTGATGGTAAGTGGTTGCTATGGCCCATAGACATCTACGAATTACATTTGCGAATTAAAATGCGGGTGCATTGTCAGCCGTGCGGAATAAGGTAGAATGCCTCTTCCAGTAAAAAGTGTCTCCAGTTTTCTACACTCACAATACTAAACACAGCAGCATTAAATTGCTATTTTACGCTGGTATTCTGTGAGAGCGTGGTCCTACCCCGGTCAAGCGACCCATACGTCTTACAACCATTATATAACCGCAGCGTGGCTCTACCACGTAAAACGCTACCAAGTAAAAATATGGAATTATGACGTTTCAGTAAATGCAAAAGATGCGACCTGTTTACTTTAAAATTTTGCACTAAATTTTGCCTTCTAGACCATCGATATAAAAAAGTGTCTATCGTACCTTCTATCAAATTGAATTGAAACTATAAAGCACCTTTATTAATAAAGTAATGTTACATCCGATGCACGTCCCACTTCTAGGCAGAGAGCTTTGATTTCTAAGAGGTTTTTAGCTCTTATTCTGCCATAATGCTTATTGGTGGAAATGTGGAATTAATTTTCGTACATCGCCGCGCACGCGATTAAATCAACATTTAAAGTTGCAGTTAAAAAAATATTTGTTTGACGGAGATCGAAATCTGTTTAGCGTTTAGATTCTGAGCTGAAATGCTGCTATGAACTTGCTGTGGCTTATTATTAACTTTTATTCATAATGATTTTTAATATCTTTTATAGAATGAGAGTGACAAACAAGCCTACAGTTCATCTGGTGATAAGTCGACGCTGTGGCCTATAGACACCTACATCTATCATCAATTGAGAATAAAAATGTAGATGCGTGTTACATCTGAGGACTAAGAATGCTTGGTTACCAGTACCATCTCTACCGCGTATAAATATTATTTAAGGAAACAAAGTATTATGAAATATTACATAAGTAGCTATTGAGATAAAGTTTATATAACAATTATTTTTTATGATGTCGTCTGTTATTAAAGTTAAGAAAGACGTAGACAAACATTTATTTGGATCATCCTAGGTAAAATTTATCTAATTGTCAGCCTCATTATACCGGATTTTCACAACATTTCATAGGCTTTAACATTTTAATGACTTTCTTACACAAGGAAGCGTTTAGATGTCGCAGGCTTAAGTTTCTAATATTTAAGCCGCTCTCGTAGACTATAAATCAAAGTATTAAAATTATAAGAAATTTCAGATCTGAGCCCACACGACAGTTAAATTTCTTAACTGGCGGTTAAATAGAAACTTCGGAGTCTTTAAATTTAATATATTTTAGAACCTTGCGAATGAAATATGGCCACGCGCTTCTAATTATTAATGGGGCTCTCGCACTTTTGCAGTGCGTCACAAACGTTTACTGATGCTTGATACTTACCGATTTGTTAAAAGCCGTTGTACTTAGGTACTTAGCGCTCGCTGTAAATTTCACAGTACACGAGTGACCCGGGTTCGATCCCCAACGGCAACAATAAAATTGTTAATTGCAATTTTGAGTGCTGATTGACTGCGTGCTTGGCGGTGAAGGAATACATCGTCTTATACGTGGTAGGGCCATGCTGCAGCTATATTAATTGTATGGTTGTAGCATAAATAGGTCAACTCGACCGGGGAAGGACCACGCTTTCACAGAATTCCAGCGTAAAATGTCAGCTTAATGCTGTTGCGTTTCGTATGATGAGCGTAGAGAACCGGAGCCGCTTTTTTAATGGAAAAGAGGCATTCCATCTTAGTCCTTGAGGCTGACAACGCATCTAAATTTTAATTCACAAACGAGGACAGATGTAGATGTGTATGGGCCACAGCCACCACTTACCATCAGGTGGACTGTGCGCTTGCTTATCACCCTTATCCAATAAAAAAATTCGTGAGGAAATCTGTATGTCTAAGAAATAAGAAAAACATATTTCGAAGACTACTACTAACTATCCTCAGCAGATCCACTTACAGTCAGATGGACTGTGTGCTTGTTTGTCACCCTTACTCTATAAAAAAATACTAATTGGTTATAATAATTGAACATTAACATTATTGGACTTTATTAACGTTTTAATTTGTAAAATAGTTTGTAAAAATTTTAACATATGAGGTATCGTGAGATTCATCTTAATTATGGAAATGACATATATTATATAACACTTATATATTGCATCTGAAAATACCAAAAAAAAAAATTCGAGGGAAAGCTTTTTTGTAAACTTTTTAACGCACATTAATAAATGTTACATTATAAGACTTGATGTTAACTTTGATTACTTCCTTAGTGATTATAAGCTTTAAAATAGGTACTAAATTATGTCGAGCGACTGCTCGCGAGTCAACTTAATATTTGGCTCCGACAGAATATCAACTCTGCGGTAACTCTGTTACTATAGCATTATTCTGAGTTGGTGGCCTTTTTGTTGCTGTAATCCATTTTTTTATTTTTTTTATATTTAGTTAATTTTTTATATGCCGCAACAAATGAATATGTCCATTTTCATTAACTACAAAAAACATTTAATAATCTTGTATATTTAAAGACTATATTCAAAATTAAGACGAAATGTTGTTGCAGATGTGGCAGCTGGTGTAACCGTGCGGCATGGGCCAGGCGGGCAGCCACCCGGCCGGCGCGGTCCCGCACCGGTGCCGCCGCTCCAACACGTTGACCCACGAACCGCTTCGACACGCATCGAAGGTATGAGGATATAGCTTCTGAGCTTGTGACGACTCTCTTTGATTAATGAACTTACGAAGACATCAGTGGCAGTTACGAAGGCACCACATATTGACGTCCGCTGTCCTTGCACGTACACTCGTGCACTATAATCCTGTTCTTAGTTGAGACTTTGTACGTGATAGAATCATGCTGCAGCTATATTATAGTTGTAGAGCGAATGGGTCGGCTCGACCGGGGCCTGGCCCGGTACTACGCGCTCACAGAATAACAGCGTAAAATAGCAGTTTAATGCTGCTGTGTTTCGTATGGTGAGTGGCGAGACGCATTTTACCGGAAACACGGCATTCCATCTTAATCGACAGGTATCTGTATTTCGATATTTTATTGACGATAGATGTAGATGTTTTAGGGTTTCATCCATTAACCATCACGTGGACTGTGTGCTCGTTTATCACCTTTATGCTATAAAAAATGTTATTGAAGATTCGAGATTTAGCAGAGTGCACATAGTACAATGTATGTGCAGTGGCTGTCGTGTCAAATTGCCGTTCCATCGGACTATGAGAGTGACGGAATAGAGAGTGTACCTTTGCTTACACGTACACTCGTGCACTATAATCCTGTCCTCCATTAAGGCAGGCCGCCGTGGCCGAAATTCTATCTTGAGGACATTATTATATTTTAATTCTTAATCCAAGATTAAGAATGCAGTGTCTGGCGGGTCCGTGGCGCAATGGCTTAAAGCGACACCGCGAAAAAATGCACCTCCTTTCATCGAATGGTTTAGGACTACGACACCACTAACGAAAGTAGAATTTTGATATAGGTAAATTCATGTCTTTATCTTGAATTTGATTGTTCAAAACCACGATTGTATTATTGTGACTTGATCATAATTATTTTCTAAAACACCTCTAAAAAATCACTATAATTAAAATTACAACGAAATTACTTAATATATATGTTTGGAAATCACTCAAATATATTCATAACATCAATATTCATAACTTACTTGCTCATTATTTTGATTACTTAAATCAATAATTTTATAAAAAATATTTTAAGATTCTGACAATTTCTAAGCGATTTTATTCGTCGCGGGCGCTACGCTATTTTTGACCTTATGACGGCGTTTTTTCAAGTTTTTATAGAAATTATGTATTCACTAAAATTAGTACGGCGATAGCCTGGAGTCACTTTTTCGATGTGTCGTCTTAAGAATGAATTGCACAGCTGAGGACCGCGTGCTCTAATCCCGCACGGAAAAAGTATTTGTACAGTCCACAAATAATTGTTGTCCTTGTGATATTTATGTATGTAAACTGTTGCCACCACACGATATAATTCCTAGTCTGGAAGTGACGTTTTTAGAAAGGAAAAAAGATAAGATACCTGTAGGTGACCAGGGGCTCATCATCCACTATAGATGAAATGTGCGCTCGTTTGTCACTCACACTTCTATAAAAGGAAAACATATTACATTGAAGGAGTGCTGTTTTGTAATAGACTGTGAAGTCTAGAATAGACGAAGCTAGTGGCCGTACACGCAGTTGCTGGTCATGAGGTCCTGGGTTCATCCCTGATCGATCCAAAATCAGTTATTGGATTTTTCTGACAACAGTTTTTTTTTTTCTAAATTTATATAGAACCGCCCTGGAAGTAAATAATTGACAAAGTACAGCATAGCATACATTAAAAAACATACAGTCAAATTATAATCCTCCTAATACAAGTACCTTTTTTAAATTTGCTTATAAATAAATTATATTGTGCTGAAATAAACCTAATTGTAAATGTACACTATATATAATATACTTTAAGACTTTATAACATAATTTGAAATAAACTAACTTTTTAATTAAACCTGTAATTGATTTTTCAGGTGCTGCCATCTCTGCCGGAGTCGCCGTGCTTGCGGAGTACGGACAATGGCGCAATTCTTCAGTCTGGGGGAACCATTAGCGGACGGAGGCCTGGGTCCATGCATCAAGAGAGCTCCAGGTCGACACATGGACATGGGGTTTGTAGCTATTTTTACTATTTTCCTCAAAGATAGGAATTTCTATTAGTAATTTGAATTCATACGATCTGCAAGCAGGTAAAGGTGAAAGGGGAAAAAACAATGAAAACAATTAATTAATATTTTTATACGTGGTAGAGCCATGCTGCAGTTATATTAGTAGTATAGTTGTAGCACGAATGGGTCGGCTCGACCGGGGAAGGACCACGCTCTCACAGAATACCAGCGTGAAATAGTAGCTTAATGCTGCTGTATTTCGTATGGTGAGTGTAGAGAACCGGAGACCCTTTTTACTGGAAACGAGGCATTCCATCTCAGTCCTCACGGGTGACAACGCATCTGCATTTTGATTTTTAATGGAGGATAGATGTAGATGTCTATGGGCCGCAGCAACCACTTACCATCAGGTGGACTGTGTGCTCGTTTGTCACCCTATTCTATATAAAAAAAAATTGAACTGCAGAGCCAAAGAGCAAGGTGTTTGTATGGCCTAGTCGTTATATACGAACAGCTTATAATGTATGTAAAATGACTCCACGACATGGAAAAAACTCCATTTGTAATATTTATAATAACAGCAAATAAGCGTCATGAATTTTCTTAGAGTAAGAAAGTAGACAATACTTGTGAAAAAAAAGTTGTGCTGGAAATGAGCTTCTCGTATGTCAAGGTGTGAAGGTATGCCGGAATGGAAGGCACGTGCTATCCATCACCTAGTCAAGTCTAAGTCAAACTCAAAATATATTACAAAGTTGACTTTTCAAAAACACAACTCACAACTGGTAAGGTTAAATATTTTGTACAACCGACTTCAATACAAATAGAATAAGAACATCATCATCATCCATCAAATCAATTAAATATGCATTATTAAGGATAACTAAAATGTACTGGTTAGATCTTGATCAAATTTATATGAGACCACGTTGACTGGCATTCAGAAGAAGAAGCACCAGCTTTCAAATAAAAAAAATATCAAAATCGGTTTACCTAGAAGTAAACACATTAAAAGTAGAGAATTGAGAACCTCCTCCTTTTTTGAAGTTGGTTCAAAAGCTACGCCATTGCTTTAACAAGTCCTTATAGCGGAAGACATTGTGAGAAGAGGCAGCAAGAAACTCACAAGTAGACTATTTTTCTCCCAACAGTTACAATGTTACCATAAAAAAGTGTACACAAATCAAGAAAATCTAATAAAGCTCATTATGCAAAGCAATCTTCTTTTATAAATGATTATCTAATCTATAATATGTTTATAAGTGAAATACCACTGCCCAATCACTCATCACGAGATATCCAAAACTATGCAACTTGTTTAATATAATAACTTTTTCTGCATTATACTGCATCATTTTATATAGATACCGTAGTTAATTTTACGACTATTACATTCAAAATCTTTCATTTAAACGTCTCGGTAGAAAGACAGTTGATATTTTTGTAATTTAAGGATTGATTTGAAAATGTATGCTTTCAGCACTCAAACGTGTTTAGATCACGGTCTGCTGGGTTGTCAGGGGAATCCGGGGATCTGCGGTCAAGAGAGCGGGATCCCTTGCATCGGTCTCATACCAATCTCGACATAAGACTAAACGAAAGTAAGTTTATATTCGAATAAAATTTTCGAAATTACTTGATATTGTCATACTACGCAACGTGCTTAGATCTTCTCATAGTTATATTGGTCAATTTGTTAGGAATACACTTGAAACATCGCTAATTGAAAAATTCTGCGAGAACTCAGAACTCATCAACTTCGTTTATATACAATTATTTTATCCAGTTCATCAAACTGCACTGCCTTCGTACGCATTACAGTTTTAATGTTGTAAGAAATTTACGAGTACATGACCTCAATTTTAGCGTGCATTCTTTTTATTTTACAATGATTAGTTTTATTTCGTTCGATGAATATGAAAAATTATCATCATAAGTTATGTTACTTTGTTACTTACATAGATTTATATAAAACACTCATTCCATGTAATGCCTAAAAGCAACATGATGATTTTTGAACATCAACTTATTTCGGCTACGCATTAATGCTAACGTATCTATAAATACTGTCCAATGGTATATATCGAAATCACTATTTTATGTTAGTAATATAGAATATAGTTTTTGATCACATGTTAATTTTCAGATGGTAGTATAGGCAAAAGATTCGATTCAGAACCTAATCTGAGAATAGAAGAGGAACAACAAAAACAAAGAAATAATAACAAGCACTTTCGTAAAAAATATCGTGCACCCCCACCGCCTAGCAACGATGTAAGTATACTATCATTATAATCACGGTAACTAATTTTTTTTCTAGTTTTTACAACTGTATTGTAAGTGTCTCAATTTTTAACCCTATATTTTCAGCGTCGAGGGGGTTCTTCGCCAGATTCCAGCGTTGGGAATGCGAGACCAGAAGCCCAAAGAAAACTCAGGCTATTTAAAACACGTAATGAAACTAAAAACATAAATGGACACTCAGACTCGAAAATTCCTATTATTAGGAATACCTACACTGATTTCAAGTCCTTAGATATTAATGACCAATCATTCGAAAGAAGATACAAATCTCCATGTAAAGATAAAGATCAGCATTTGAAGTACCCCGACAACAGGGACATGGTACAGAGTTCAGCATCATTAAAAAGGGAAGAACGATTATTACAAAGTAGAAACAATTCGAAGAAATCGAGAACAGATGTAGTTAGTGGATGTAAAGCGAAAATGTCAAAGAGTAATGAACAAAGCGAAGCATGGAAAACACCTCTTCTAGACAGAAACTTCAGATACTCTGAAAGATTTAAAAAGGATGACAGCGATCATTCAACGTTAAGAAGAGAAAAAACGTTTGATAATTCTTTACTCGAAAGGAATCGAGAAATTGGTTCATCTAAAAACATATTCGAAAAAGAGTTAAAGACTTTAGGAGAACAAAAGAAACTCAGTCCACTTGCGGAGAGTAGCAAACCACTGAGAAAATCTCTTCCTTCATTATTGCCGAGAAATGAAGAAAAAGATGAATTTCAAGCGGAGCTTAAAAAGGCTACAAGTAGAATAAGAAATGAATTAGGTCATAAATTTAATATAAGTGAAAACAAAACTAGTCAAGTTAATAAATTCAGCGTAGAAAAACCAAACCCAACGAAAACTCCAGAACAGACAAAAGTCAAAGAATCTAGTCTTAAAACAGACAATGCGAACACAAAAAAAGACTCAAAAACTAAAAATATTCGAATGCCTTTATCTAGGACGCATGAAGTTAAGTCCAATTTGCCGATGCAACAAAACAAAACTGCTAAATGTAATGACACAAACAACTTCAAATTTAATACTAAGGAAAATAATCGTCCAATGCCAGATAGAGGTCAAGCTTCTGGGAAAGAATCTACTCCAGAACATTCTCCAACTAGGAAAAGGGAATTTACAACGAATAATACCTCACAACAAACGTAAAAATTTTGTTATTGTTAATATATATTATATTTCAATAACGTCACTAAAATAGCAGTATCTTACTGATTACAACCTAAAATAATAAAAAAAACTACGGTTGTCGAACCAACCAAGTGTTGCAACTTTGGAAAATACCTCTCCCTTTCTCCAACCAAGGAGGCAATCTATTGAAGTGTCTATGTGCAACAGTGGAGTTTGATATGACGAATAAATTTATTGACATGACTTTTACAGTACAATCTTATTTCATCTTTCTTTTTTACGAAAAATAATTAATTAATATATTTATAAATGAAACATATTTCAGGCAAAAACCAGCACCGTCAAAACAGTTCTATTTTGGAATGATAGAAAGCAAACATATAGAACCCCAGGACCATCTCAAAGACTTCCCAGGACTAGGGAGTCCAATAATCGAAGAACTAAATAACTTCCATCTGATAGAACAGAAGTTGCTCAGTTACCATGATGATGATGCAGAGCTAGAGAAGTTCAACGAGAAATTTAAAGAAGATTGTAAAATAAGAAATAGTAAGTACTCTTTCTAACAATATTTATGACTTTCTCCGTCTCCTCTCCTTCTTACTTCTATTTTTAGATACTGACCGCCTCGTTGGTTTAGTGGTTGAAAACGTGACTGACGATCATGAGATCCTGTGTTCGAATCCCGGGTCGGGCCAAAACAAAACAGTTATTGAGTTCTTCTGTCAAGAAATTCTCAGTAGCAGTCCTGAGTCAAGAAGTTGGCAGTGTTACACCCCCGTGCCTCGGAAAGCACATAAAGCCGTTGGTTATGCGCCTAATCTCCCTCCGGAAGTGTAGGTTTGTCGTCCCATTGGACTATGAAAGCCAGGAAATAAAGAGTGCACATGTGATTGCGCATATACTTGGACACTCTAATCCTGTCCTACACAGATCGCTAGAACTATACTATATTATTTTTTAGATCTGAAAGCAAATAAAATTAATTTGATTTTTAGCAGTAATATGAAAACTTCTCACTTGGCGGATTATATAAACATAAATGTAATTTGTTCTTCTTCTAGTATCATCAGAGTCTGCACTCTCATCGGAAGGTTCCGAAGGCGAAGGTTCTGATGGATCACTGGGTATTGCATTGAGGCTTAGGCCCACATTGCCTAAGAAACAAACGTCAATACCTCATTTCTCACCATCAGCTGCATGGCGGCAACTTGCCAGTTTAGATGCGCATCTTGCGTCTGGTAAGTTTTAAAAGTATTCAAAAATATATATTTTCTTATATTTTCGTTCTACTAAAACGACACTTAGAAAATAAAACTAAATAAATTCCATCTTATAAAAAAATCAAAACTATCACCAAAATAAAATAAAAAACAATTAACAATACTGACTACTCCATTTGTATTCACCCTTACCGATTTCAAGCGCTCTGGCAATATTTGATTAAATCAGTAAAGAATATCATACATATATGCAGTTAGAATAGAAAAGTAAACTGTGTTAACTACATTTATGTGCATACTGTAATTTTACTAAGGGTAATTTAACACCGAGACGAGATGCGACGCGACACGACGCACACTTTTTAAGATAATGATACAAAATATAACTTTATTGCACAAAAAGATACACATTTTATTGAGATAACTTGAAAATGTCCGCGGCATCGCACTACGTCGCGCTGCGCCTCGAGGTGCCTCGCGGCGTAGCGCGACGCGTCATGATACGACGTTGGAAAAGCTCAACGTAAAAGAGTGGCACTGCATCACACAAGGCCGCAAGGCGCAGCCTAAGCCGTCGTGGCGATTTGTCTTGTCGTCACGCTGCCAGCCACTTCAAAATGCGCTTCGCGACGTCGCAATGCGTCTCGCAGTTTTGCGCTACGCGATGCTAACTCTGCTCTCTCTAACTGGCCTCTTCAAGCAACGTCGCGTCGCGTCGCATCTCTGTGTCGACTGACCCTAACACAAAATTTTGGTGCATGTATTTGTACCTCAATAAACTTCTGTCTTTGTTAAATTTTGAGAAAATTGTTAGTACTGCCTTATTTTATTGAAAAACTTTTAGCATTAATACTACTCCGTCTGCATTAACTTATCTTAAATACTTGTAATTTTTTAAATATTTAATGATCCACAGAAACCCAGCCGCTAGCAGTGGAAACAAAGATGTCGGGTGACATATCGGCCGAGTCATCTCCGCGCTCCGATCCATCAGCAGACAAGTCAGGCGACTCTGGCATATCCGGCGATCATGCTCATAGTGACCACAGGATTGATTCTCCATCCAGGCATCACGTGAGAAATTGCAAACATAGTTTTTTTTTAATTCATCTTTATCGTGTCACAGTTTATTTAAAAAGAGTAAAACCTATTTACGTCCCACTACTGAGTAGAATCCTTCTCTCATTTCTAAAAGGCTCCAGAACAATCAATCCACCGTGGTGCCATTACGTGTTGGCAGAATTCACACGTTCTCGAAATATTGTATTTCTCTGATATGTAGAGATTTTGTTATGATGGTTTCTTTGACTGCCAAGCACTTGGTAAAAAAAGAAACGCGATAGATCTAGTACAGCTAGAAACAACAAAAACAGCACAGTACGCGATAAACCCATGTACGATCACCATTGCACTATTGAAACTGTTTATTCCAAATTTAAGTGCTGATTTACTACGTGCTCGGCAGTTTATTTCAGATAATTCATAATTGGAACATTTACATTAATACGTTTCGAAATGATAACGTTATCCGTAGCCTTTACTAATTGCTTTGTACTTTCTTTTATGAAATCATTTGTATGCAAATTGAATGAAATGTAACTTAGAATGACACCTTGTGGAAACATTATAACATCTTTACTGGCGCCGTAATTTTAAAGCTAGGTAAAGTCATGAGAAAAGGAATATTTACAGAATCATCGTCGTTAGCCTTTCTCAGTCTACTGTTTGACAGGCTTTTAATAATGTATCAACATTTCTTCAAGGAAATACCTATATACTTTACTCACCGCACTGAGCAACGAGAACATAAACTATCACTAACCAACCCGCCTGCGGCTCAAGAGTGTGGGGTGATGAGTTAGAGCCCTCACAATAAAAGTAAAGTTAAAAGTAAAGTTACAGCCTATATACGTCCCACTGCTGGGCTCCAGGCCTCCCCTCATTTCTGAGAGGGTTTTAGGGCAAGGAAGTGTCCGCCGCGCTGCCCAAATGCGTGTTGACGAACTTCACATGTCTTCTAAATATTTTTTTTCTTATTCCTCAGACATGCAGGTTTCCTCACGATGTTTTCCTTCACCGCCGAGGACGTGGTAAATCAGCACTTAAAATTGCAATTAACAATTTCATTGGTGCCGGCGGGGATCAAACCCGGGTTACTCGCGTTCTGTTATATTTACAGCGAGCGTTAACCACTGAGCTACCACGGCTCATAGTGATGCAGTTTATCATCACCAGTCTGTGAAAGGGTAAGGTTAGATTGGTGTTAGGTAGTTAAGTAAATTGGCATCAGAGCCTTATCTATTGAGCAAGCTGAAGCGTATACAAATTAAGTTGTTACTTGAAGAAAAAATACGATTCATTATTCTTTTTATTTTTTACAATTTACATTTTATTCAAATCATCATCAAAAATTCATTTTCGTATTTAAAATCTAATAGTTCTGCAAGAGCTGTTGTCCATCTGTCCATCCACTGTTTTTCTTAGCATTACTCTCCACGCTAAGCTTCATTGGGGCCTCCATATACCTAAACTAGCAAGCAGACTAAGCTCTGCAGCTTATGCTGTAAAAAAGATCAGAGTTCGAGAGTTATTTTATTTTAGTTATTTCCATAGCTTAAAGTCTTATGGGATTTTTCTGTGGACAAATAGAGTTGATTTAGAAACTATTTGCAAAAGAGGGCCATAAGAGCTGTTTACAACCTTAATCCGAGAGAGTCTCTCAGAGAAAAATTTAAAGAAATAAATATATCTACTTTGGCCTCTCAGTATATTTATGAAAATTTAATGAATGTTTACAAAAACAAAAGCAGTTTTAGTAAAAATTAATATACCCGTAAACTCTGTAAACACTAGAAACAAGCACAAGCCAGTGATACCAGTTTCTCGACTCCACAGAGTCAGTAATTCATTCTTTTAGCAAGGTATACGCTTTTTAAAATTCCTTGTACAATAAAAAAACTGTACAAAATGGGTTATTATAATACAAATGAATACATAATTGATACTCGTAATGACCCCTGGAAATAAGTTTCTAAAATAAATTTTGTAAATAGTTTGTACAACATTTTATAATGTATAATTTACTTAAACAAAAATCTTCTTTTTTTTATATAAAGACGATTTTTTGTTATTCTTTAATATTAATATTATTTTTAATTTCTTCTTTTCTTTCCCTAAAAGTTTCTTGCTGGTTCTTCCCAGGGCAGAGCTTTTTTTTCCGAACCAGTGATAAAGTAAAAAATGACTTTCAGTAAGAATTACAAGTAATCTATATTAAATAAAAAATATTCTATTGTGTTCTAATCTATCGTTACTGATGTAATATAGATAGCAGAGGCCGGTGGAGTGACATGGACTCCGCAGCAAGACCTGGGAGACAGCAGCTCGGACGGTGCGGGGGGTGCGGGGGGCGCGCCGCTGCCCGCCGGGCTCGGTGTCGCTACCTACAGCCCTGGTGCTCAGCCCTTCAGCCTCTCGTTGCCCAGGGAAAACCAGGAAAAGGTTGGCAAAAGGGTAGTGAAAGTGCGCGGGATGTTACAGCCTTTTGCGATCTGAGATGCCATTTAACACTATCGACGATATACCATCACAATATGAAACACCACTTTTAAAGTATACTGATTTTGTACTTAACTTAGCAAACCATGTTTTTTCGTACTAATAAAGTAAAAAACGAGCGCACAGTCTATCTGATGGTAAATAGATGCTGGTGACCATAGAAACCTACATCTGTCCTCGATTGAGCATCAAAATACCATTAAATTATTTCGCATTAAAATAACACAAAATTATTCATTATTAGAGACAAGACAAATGAATTGCTGCTTACGAAGATGTCATAAATATTACAATATATTCACGTTAAACTCGGAAAAGCGAGCAAGCTATCCGACTTCGAACCCCGTGACGTCTTCATTTCCTTCTGAAATATAATGATCAAATTTAGCGTAGTTTAAGTACCATACATAATAGTAGTAAATGATACCCGCTCGCGAAGCTGGGATGACGATCGCAGTTCCAAGAGGCAACATGGATTATTTCGGCATATTCCATAAAATGGCTTCCGATAGCGGTATACCACGGTGATATCTTTATTGAGTCCTAATTTACAACGCACTTGGTATTAAAAGAATATTATGTAGTAACCAGCTGAATTTTTTCACAATCTTCATTAGGGCAATGAATAAAAAAATAAGTAAAATTGGTCCCATAACTATTAATAATACTGTAACTAATCAACTAACTATTAACTAATCTTCTAATGGCAACTAATATGTTAATTAATGTATATAAATATGTATGATATATTTTTTAAGTAAACACATTGATTTTTTTATTTAAAGAAAGAGTTAAACCATCTCAGATGCGTTAATTTGAAAACTAATATAATATAAATAGAGTGAAATCAAAAGGCTTAATTAACTAACAATAATTGTGACTAACAAACTAATTTCGCCTAACCTCCCGCGCGCGCTGAGGAGGAATAAAAGGTAAAATTGCACGCATAGTAATGAATTTGTATTCCTTGTCTCTAAGAATAAACTTGTACTGCTTGTCTCTACTTATGAACTAGCACTGCTTGTCTCTAACAATGAACTTGTACTGCTTATCTCTAGTAATGAACTTGTACTGTTCGTCCTTAATATTTTGTATAACTCCTACTGCTTGTCCCTAATAATGAACTTATACTGCTTGTCTCTGATAATGAACTTGTACTGTTCGTCCCTAATAACAAACATCTACTGCTTGTGTCTAATAATGAACTTATACGGCATGTCCCTTACTGAACTTCAACTGCCTGTCTCTGATAATGAACTTGTACTACTTGTCTCTAACAATGAACTTGTACTGTTCGTCTCTAATAATAAATATCTACTGCTTGTCTCTAATAATGAACTTATACTGCATGTCCCTTAATTAACTTGAACTGCCTGTCTCTGATAATGAACTTGTACTGCTTGTCTCTAACAATGAACTTGTACTGCGTGTCTCTTGTAATATTTTGCACTAAACAACTAGAAAGATGACCAGTCTCTTGGCAGGGTAGCAAAAACAAAATCATTTTTGTGTATGTTTGTATTAAATTATTTAAATATCATTTGTAATGTCAATGTTTCTTTGTTGGTGAACTGGCAATAAGAAGCAAAAGTCTATTTACAGATTACATGATTATGACCTTATGACTACTCAAATAGGTTTTAACTTCATTTTTTATTAATTTCTTGAGATTAAATTTCCTGCTGCATTTGCATTTTTTTTTTCTAATATTCTTTTCAATCGTTTTATTCATTCCAGTTAAAATTTTTACCATTTCGCTCTTTTATAATTCTATAATTAATATAAAGAACCTGTTTACATTTCTTTTTTTTTCATTTATCTCGTGTATATAATTTTCATACACATATTTTCATTTTTTCGAACAAAATTATATTTTTATCATTATTCCTCGTCAGCTAGCAAGTAAGAAGAACTATCTATCCGACCTTGGCGTAGTGTAAAGGCATTTCGTGTTTTTTTTACTGCTTTCAGGGCAAGCAGTTGCAGCAAGGTTTCAACAGTCTGCAGAAGCTAAGGAAGTCGGTGTCGGGGGCGTTGGGCGCTGCTTTGGGTTCCAGAAGATTTGACCTAGAACATGAGCCTATGCTCGAGGAGCCTGAACAGAACTGGTTCTTGACGAAATCCGCGCCTAACTCGTTGAGCAATCCACTGCTCTTCCAACAACCGAGATCGAAAGGATCTCTCGACGATGATAATAAAGAACAGTCAGATCCTACGGAGAAGGTATCTATCGTCTTCACTTGCATAGAAGCCCAGACCACCAAAAAAATAGACGGAGCGCTGGGTATATTTCAAGATACACCGAAACAAGATAAAAACATTCTGATTTTATTGTAAGAACACGCAAGTACACACAAATCTACAATCTTTACATCCAATAACTTGGTTTTAGGTGCACATATGTGCGTTCAGCACTGTGGCTGTTAAAGAAAATAGAAGAAAGATGTGTGCGTGAGTGCATATTCAAGAAGTTTAGCATGGTCTTCACGTGACCTGACATGTAGGCAGTGCTCCGTCTATAACTTATTTTGGGTTTGAGCATAGAAGTTAAAAAGTTATATAGTATATAGAAGTTAAAAAGTTATATAGTTATATAGAAGTTAAAAAGTTATATAGTTATATAGAAGTTAAAAAGTTATATAGTATATATACCCCGTCTTTACCCGCTGCAGGCCTCTTCTCATTTATTTATGGGTGTACTGAAAGATATTTCAATTTATTCTGGAATAAGTACCGTCCTTGTACGAACTCTTTATAGTATAAACGTATCTGTTTTCTAAGATATTTTATTTAATTAAATAAAACTTTAAACACACCAGGATTTTCCCCTATATCGTGGAAGCATTTCATTAAACAAGGATTAACCTCCAGATCCAGAAAAATTATATACCTATAGGTCGTTGTTTTACAGAATATGAGTGACGAACGAGCACATAGTCCACCTGATGATAAGTGGATGCTGTGGCCCATAGACATATACATCTATCTTCGATTAAGTTTCAAAATACAGATGCACTTTTCACCCCTGAGTACTAAGATGGAATGCCTCGTTTCCAGTAAAAAGGGTCTACACTCACCATACGGAATGCAACAGCCTTTAGCTGCTATTTTACGCTGGTATTCTGTAAGAGTGTGGTCCTACCCCGGTTGAGCCGACCCGTTCGTGCTACAATCATAATATAGCTGCAGCGTGGCTCTACCACGCAAAAATGGAATGCCTCGGTTCTAATAAAAAACATCTCCGGTTCTCTACACTCACCAAATGAATCACAATAGCAAAGCAAGGGCGGGTCGCAATAAAAAATTAAAACCAAACATTTAATATAATTAAAATAAAAGATTTATGTGAGATGCGTGCTTGTAGGAGGCTGCAAACGGGTGGAGGGCTGGCAGCGCGTACGTATCGTGGGGGGGGCACGTAATGTACCTGCCCCCCGCCGCACAGCCGCACTCCATGCCCGCACTCGACCGGCCCGTCAGGTACGTACAGTACAGTACTCACTCACTACCATCAATCCACTCACACACACATAACATACACTTACTATAACTACGCATTGCATTCCCGCGCACGTCCGGCCCGTCAGGTACGTGCAGCTCACACACTCACCCACTTGCATCATTGCACTCACACACATCACACACACTCACTGGAACTACGCACTCTGTGCTTGCGATCGACTGGCCCCTCAAGTACGTACAGCTCACACTCACCCACTCCCATCAATCCACTTACAACACATGACACACACTATAACTAGGTACGCAGTCCATGCCCGCGCTCGACCAGCCCGTCACGTCAGGTACGTATACTCACACGTTCGCTTACTCGCACTCTACGAGCACTTAAAGTGCTCGTAGCTCGCACTACTCAACTCACACATCACACTCGCAGTATAGTTAAATTTGTATATTTTCATAGTGCACATAAATAGTCACAAGGAAGTGTAGCAGGTGAAATCGATGAATTTGTTGTAAGGGAATTTTTGCCTGATTAAAATCCCTCTGAATAAAGTTATTCAAATTTGAAAACATACAGCTGCAGTGTTACTACGTGAACATAAAGTCTTACATATCATTAACATAGCGTGTGATTGAACAGGAGCAAGTCAAGCGGGTGCCTGGAAGCTGCGGCAAGAGCTGCACGGGCAGCACTGGCGGGCGAGATGCGAGAACGAGAGCGCTCAGCATCCCCTGACGTGGCCCGAGCTGTGCCAGCTGCCGTGCGACCAGCTACGGGACCAGCCAACGTGAGTACACCGCTTACTTACAGCACTGCGATTGTTTCATGTAAGTTATTGGACGGAACAAGTACTGTGTACACACATGGACTTCTCTGAAGGCAACGGGTTCGAATTCCGCAATTGTTATAGTGTAGAATTTGTTGTAGTGTTTTGTAGTGTTCTTGTGTGATTATGTATGTAAACCGACTCTACGACACAGAAGAATATCCTATAGGGAAAATAACGTTTAAAAAAACTACGTTACCATGAAGTAAACAAAGTTTATTTTTAATTTAATTAAATGTATTTGTAACACATATTATGCACGAATCTTTGTTTTCTGCACTCCTTCTCCATATAAACTTTAACTATGCCAAATGTCACACTGCTCCGAGCGCGCAATATGCATTAAAAGGGGTGGGTACGAAGCTTTATATATATAATAGAAAAAAATAAGTAAAAGAAACAAACACACACGACATCAAATGGTAAATGGATGTTACGGCCAACAGAATTCAAACGCGCTGTCGCCCCTGTGGACTTAGACATTCCATCTTTTTCCTATTTACCATTATATTGCTGTACGCTGGTATTACGAACGATCGTGGTTTTTCTCAGTCGAGGCGACCCATTTCCTCACAAAATTACTCTTCACCGCGGAAATAGGTGTCGAAAATAACAATTGCTTGACGTAATATTAGGAAATGTGGCTTGATCTAATTTATGCAACTATTATACAATTTTAAACATGCGCGCAGTTTCAAAATTATAACATTTCTATCATTACATTAAGTAATTAAGACTTAACACTTTAAGTTACTACGAACGTAGTGGAGCAGATTTTGCCACCTCCCTTTGTATGAGTTAATGACTTCACACGCCCTCATTTAACATGCAGACATCTTTATATATATAAAAGATTATACGTGGCAGAGCTACGCTGTAGGTATGTTATGGTTGTAACACGTTACACACACTAGAAGATTTTTGTTTATAGAATAAGGGTGACACACATAGAATACTATAATACACAATAGAATGGCTAGCAAACTTATTTTGTGTGTTGGCTGTCAAACTGTTATGTCGGCCTATTTAATCGCTCAATATTTATTTGATCTGGGGGCACTGTTGTGCCCCCGCCAAGTCAAAAAAGCGGCACGGCCGTACCATTCTTTTCTCGTAGCAATTCAGGCCATTTTCGACCACCTATAACTTCGTAGTGGATAAAACTAGAAGCTTGAAAATCTTTTATGTTTTAAATATATAAATTGACTTGGCAATCGCACTAATCAATCTAATTTAATATAATATGTATTACTTGTGAGATACATTGTGTTTTCATGCGATGGCCAAGTCAATCTATATATTTGAAACATAAAAGATTTTTAACATCGATATGGTCACTATAAAGTACTGTTAGGTTAGCTAATTACGTAATAACTTAAAACAGATGGACCCTTAAATAGAGACTGAATAAATTAACCGAATTGGTATTATATGGATCTCAGAACTTTTTACGGTAGAAGAACTGAGTTACGAGACTTGGTTTTTTTTACAAGTTTTGTTTTTGATGGCGTAGACATTTACATTTCTCCTAAAATGCAGATGCATTGTCACTCTTGAGGACTTAAACGAAATAGCTCGTTACAAGTGAAAAGTGTCCACAGTTCTCTACGCACACCATACACAACACAGCAGCTTTGAGTTTGGTTTAATACTCAAAGCGCAACAGCATTAATCTGCTATTTTACGCTAGTATTTTGCGAGAACGTGGTCCTACCCCGGTCGAGCCAACCTATTCGAGCTACAACAATCCAACATAGCATACATTACAACATAACACGTACATAGCAACAAAACATAACAACCAACTAATATATCTACCGATATACTACCGAGTACTAATCCGATAGATGGTGTACCTAAACATCTAGTTTACACCAGACGTAAATACCAAAACTTACGCCGGGCAGCATCTTCATAGGTGGAGACGTGATTGACGATCAGGAAAAATCCATGTAATGCAAGGTGTTGCTTTACATTTTGTGTGACTTTTTATTAGGAAATTTTTAGAGGTTTTTTGAAGAAGCCCATAATATATTATTAAGATATTATGGGTCTTTTCCTTATACGTGGTGGGGCCACGCTGCAGCTATATTATATATTATGACCACGCTCGCTGTGTGCGAGCAATACCAGCGTAAAATAGCAGCTTAATACTGCTGTGTTTCGTATCATGAGTGAATAAATCCAGAGTTCAGAGTTGTCACCTTTATTCTATTAGAAACCGCAACTTTTATTATTTTGAGTTGTTAATGAGGAGTACGGCCGCCCCTCTCCGATTTCATTACCATTTCCTTACACCTCGCTATATCTTATTCGGATAAAAGTGACTAAGCATTACGTTCAAAACTCATCTGCAATTGTCTGTTAAATAGTTACAACACACTATCTTAATTTCCTCACCTTGGCGGGACCCGCAAGCACACATTTCCCACGACTTACCAACTTCAATTAGCACAGACATGGCTTCGCTTCCGGGCCTTTTTTGGGTCGTGAGATTGTTCAAACTGTAGCACACAAAGGACTCCAATTTGTCGATGTCCTGCCGTGACATTCGCCATTCATATAGTAATAAATCCTGGCTGCAATTGAATTAGGAGCGCTTATTACGAAGTGCTATTAAAACCGACCTTTGAATTACGAGTTTTGAGGTCATATTACGACCTTACTCATACATTCGATGTCAATTAAAAAAACTGTTAAAATTACTATATCTCTCTCTTTACACTAAATGAGAATAAAAGCAAGCAAAGAATTTCATTGATTAAAGGTGTTTAACACTTTCACTGTCCAGTTTTCAGGCACAATAGTAAGACATTAGCAATGATCTATATGTAGTGCATGGGAAAGCGAAAGGTTTAATATATTATTTAGCTAAGATCCGTGTAATGAAATAAACCTATTTGTCTTAACTAGTTTGAAGAGCACCGCCCGCCCTCCCTCGTGGGGTTGCGAGTACTATCCCCGTCATCATTAATCCCAAAATTCAGGATATCGTTGAGGAGGATTCCAGCTTCCAGCAAACAAAACACAATCTTTCTAGTATGTTAATATATAACAAATATAAATAGTTACCAAAGCTATGCAAACACCGCACACTTCACTTTTTTATGTACATTCCATGTTACACAAACCAACCACATTCATGTTTTTATACACTTTTTAGGGTTCCGTAGTCAACTAGGAACCCTTATAGTTTCGTCATGTCTCTCTGTCCGTCTGTCCGTCCTCGCTTAATCTCTGTGACCGTTAGCACTAGAAAGCTGAAATTTGGTACCAATATGTGTATCAATCACGCCGACGAAGTGGTAAAATAAAAATTGGAAAAAAATGTTTTATTAGGGTAGCCCCCCTATATGTAAAGTGGGAAGTGATTTTTTTTTAATTTCAACCCTAACGTGTGATATATTGTTGGAAAGGTATTTAAAAATGAATAGGGGTTTACTAAAATCATTTTTGATAATATCAATAATTTCGGAAATAATCGCTCCAAAAGTAAAAAACAATGTGTGTCCCCCCCCCTCTAACTTTTGAACTATAGTTTAGAAAATATGAAAAAATCTGAAAAGTAGACTTGGACTTTCTAGGAAAATCATTTTGAACTTGGATGGAAACAACAGTACCCACCACTGGGAGCAGTTGCAGGAGCGCAGAGCGCTGCTGGAGCGCGAACATAATGGATACCCACCTTTAAACTCATAAGTGGGAACACTTATTGTGACGGACGGGAAACTACGGAACCCTACACTGAGCGTGGCCCGACACGCTCTTGGCCGGTTTTTATTAGTCTTTATTACTTATTTTTTAATACATAAATTAAAGGTTACAGAAAGCACATTGCATTAGATATGTCGCAATCAATTAGCTTAATGAGCCTTTCAGTTAACAGCCTAGACACTACATGGCATGGTCACCCTAAAATTGTGTTCATCGAGACGGTCGCTGGTTTGTGCCGAATTAGTGTTATATGCTATCTCTATTTATATAAATTCAATTGCTGCAGTTAACAGCCTAGACACTACATGGCATGGTCACCCTATAATTGTGTTCAACGAGAAGGTCGCTGGTCTGTGCCTAATTAGTGTTTATTTTAAAAATTAATACTACAAAAATCAATTGCTCTTCGTTAGTCTTGCTAAAACTTGAAAACCGCTCGAATGATTTTGGTGAAGTATTAGTGTGCGTTTGTGTGGGTCCCTGGATGATCTAAACGATTCACAATTGGACCGGTAATTGGCGCTGATGTCAAGATCCAAAAATCACCCATTGTGAAGCCAGGGAGGATCGCTAGTATTATATAAATGTACGCGGCTTTAGGGTAGCTCAAGGACCACTCCAGCCCCACCTTAACCTACTATCGCTCATATTACAATATATGTGCAATGTTGTATTAGACGCATCGGCTGAATAGCATTTAGGCCGCTAGTTTAACGAGTAAAAAGGATAGGGATAGTAAAAGGTAGAGATATAGTAAAAAGGCTAAACTTTAAACTAACAGATACATGAGATTGATCGTTTTTGTATACTTTATTACAGATTATGGAAAATATACGTCTGTAAATAGTTGCAAGGCATAGATTTAGATTGTACATCCTAGATGTATAACACTTTAGTTTCTGGTTCTATTATAATAGTTATTGTTAATAATTATTTTTCAACATTATTGTTTTATTTTTAATCAGTTTAAATGCTTTCTTACATCACTGTTCGGTTGTTCATGACTCTTGAGTCAATTAAGGTCCCGACTGAAATCTTAATCTGAAAATTATCACTGATTGTTTTTAACATCACACAATAGCATTATTACTAATATGTAATTTGTACGAATTTCTATGTTTCTTAATGTTGTGTGTTGGTCAAATAAATGTTTCTTTCATTCTTTTTTTCTTTATTCAAAGCAGCAATAGACTGAATGCGTACAATTAATTTACCCACGCTTAATAGTCGGCTGTCGTTCGGCTGCGGACACTAACATGCTCATTTCAAGCGTACACGAGATATACATGATATTTTTCGTGTTCTGTTCATGCCAATGCCCTGATGAGTATACAGTATGAATTGTCAAGTCCATGCATGTCATCTTCACAAAGTTTAAAATTAGAAATTATTGTCTTAACAAAATTTTGTGCCATTTTACTCAATGTTTATGAATGTACAAGAAGCGTGGTAGCGCAAAGGCTGAGTGCTTGCTGTAAATTTCACAATAAGCGAGCAACTCGACTTCGGTCCACGCCAGCTAACTTTAATTACTGGTTTTTTTTTAGTTGGACTGTCAACCTTAGGAACTTCAATTAATGTTTGGTTATATTACAGCGTTATTTAACTGCTCTTATAATTATAGGCAATCACAGCATGCGTTGTGTTACAAATGTTAAAGAAATTTGAGAAAAATGTTCTTAATGAAAAAAGGGAAAAAGAAATAAAAGTTAATTGTGCGACCGGAGTTTAGTTTACCACGTGCTCGGCTGAAAAAGAAAACATAAGAGAACCTGAATTGGAAGTGGAAGGTATAGAGACTATTAATTTACGTGACTTTTATTTATATTCATTTATTATAATTAATCAAATGAATTCAAGTTCAAACACTGTACTAAAGGTTACAAGCAATAGGTAAATTAAACATACCACATGTATTTTCTACGATAAGTAATATCACGAATATTTTTTTAAAGAATAAGGGTGAGAATAAGGGTGCGAAAAGATGGCATTCGTTTGCATATTTTATCGCATCTACCACACGAATTTCTGAGAAGAATTGTACGGACTAATTCCAATCGCCAAATTTAAGCATCACACATTGCGACAAAATTCGTGATACCATCAATACCATATAGATGGTTGGTGATCCACCGCTGTGCGATTTACTACAAGTTTTCTTCTTCCCACAACATATTTGTGGAGTTGGCCACTACCGGCGTTTTTTCCGAAGTTATACGACTTAGTGACCTTCAAGAAATGAACCTACTCTTTTTTAAAAGGTCAGCAACACCCTTGCAATTACCCTGATGTTGCAGTTGTTCATGATTGATGATAGTCACTCACTGTCAGGAGAGCCGCATTCTCCTTTGCCCCCTCATATTAAAAAAATCGATGCGGCAATTTGCGGCAACTGAAAGTAACAATCTGTAAAAATAATTGTTGAAGTTTGTAGTGTAGAGTGTAGAGTGTAGAGTGTAGAGTGTAGAGTGTAGACCTACCGGGTTATACCTTTTTTACGATATTATTTAAACCAGAATTTATTACAATCGTATAACTTGCTTTCCTTGTATCTCGCTGATTGAACAAGAAAAGGAAAAGAACATCCGATTGAACTGAAATTTAATATATATATATATATATATATTTTAACTTTAATAAAAATGCAATAATATGGTATCCTCGAGCTGGAACCGCATGAAGATGGACCCGCATGCTGGCTAGCAACTCCTATAAAACCTTGTTATTAAATAGATTTATTAAACCTATTATTATTACGTCAATTCTTCAAATATTTTTTATTAATAGTAATAACAACTGAGAGAAGCTTTAATTATCAGTTATTAGTATTCGAACCTGCAGTCATCTTTGTCAACTATTAACCACTGTAGTTAAATCATGACGCAGCGGACCGCATACTAATATCAAAATACAAGGAAATGAAATTTAATTTGTATTTTGTGTCCATATTATTATATGTATTTGAAAGGATTTATTTAAAAAATTGCTTTATAACTATTACTCTAAAAGTGAATATTATTTATTTACAAAATAACTTAATTTTTTCTATATTTAATATTAAGTAAATTAAAAGAAAAATGTAATTTAATTATATTTTTACATTAACTTTTATTACATTAATTAATTAGGTGACGTGTTTAATAAAATTTCTAGCGCTACGCTTGTATAATAAGTTCTTTCTCTTTTTTTTGGGTTGGAGGTGTCGGAGCGCAAATCGTGTACCGCACTTTTCACATAGATGATCGAACTTAGTATATGTTGAGCTGTTGTAATAAAACAAACCATAAAATCGACTAACCCGACTAACGTCGACTAAACATATAGCTGTGGCGTTGCGGGGAAGGGGTTCGAATCCAGCACGGAACAATTATTTGTGTGGCCTATAAATAATTATTCCGTGTCTGGATTATTCATCTTCATCATCATTGCAGCCTTCCACAAGTTCACTGATGAACGCAGGCCTCACCGAAGGAATGCCGCAAAACACGGTCCCCAACCATCTGCATCCAACCAGAACCTTCTTAGCTCATCGGTCGATTCTTTAAACAATATGGCCAGCCCATTGCCACTTTAGCTTACTGATCCGCTAGGCCATGTCATTTCCTCTGGTTTTACTAGGGACATCCTTATTACGAAGTCCATCACGCAGAGATTAAACGAGCACACAGTCCACCTAGTGGTAAGTGGATGCTGTGGCCCTTAGACATCTACATTTAACCTTGTTTAAGAATCAAAACGCAGATGCGTGGTAACCCCTGAGGATTAAGCTTCAATGCCTCGATTCCAGTACAAAGGGTCTCCGGTTCGCTACACTCACCATATGAAACTCAGCAGCATTACGCTGTTATTTTTCGCTGGTATTCTGTGAGAGCGTGGTCCTGCCCCGGTCGAGCCGACCCATTCGTGCTACAACTATAATATAGCTGCAGAGTGGCTCTACCATGTACAAATTCCGAGTATAGTTTTCTTACATAGCTCATTGAGCGACCTTGAGCTTCCTCATACGGAATCTTCCAGCCACTTTATACTCTGCTTCCTGCTACGAGGTTCATCCATGCATCCATTACAGCCTATAAAAGTCCACTGCTAAACATAAGCCTCTCTTATAGATTGGCTCAGGGGGGGGATTTTGCCATATTTGCCACGCTTGGTAAGCGGTTTGGCAACCGCAGTTTTTTTTATTTTGAGTCGTTATCAGGAAGATGCTGCTTCTAGTATATAGCGGCAACATTTTAAGAGAAATTTCAATGTAGAGCGAGATATTTTCTCTACTGCGCGATAAGATGTCGATGCATTAATTTTATGCTTTATTACAAAAATTTTAACCTAAAAAACTTAAACCTGAAAAAACACAAAAAAATATATAATTTAATTTAATATTACGTAATAATATCATTTTCATCTCAATAAAGAATCTTTGTTCACAACTCATAACATAACTCTAAATCTTAGTCCACACTGTAGAAAATAAACACACAAAGTAGAGGTATTCTTTCGACCTTACTTACAATTCATTATCATTAATTTCGTTAATGATTTAAAATAAAATATCAAAATAAAATATATAGTAAAAACAAAGAATCCCTAAGTATTTTTTCGGAAAATGGTGGCAAAAGGAAATGTTTTGAAAATTGAAAGACCTACAACAAAAACAAACTATAAAGTGGTGCCTATACCTCTCCATCGATCCATCCATTCATTACAGTCTAAAATATTCCACTGCTGAGTACAGGCCTTCCCCATAAATTGACACACAGGGGGGATTTTGCCATAGCTGCCACGCTTAGCGGGTGAGTTGGAAACCTCAGTCTTTTATTATTTTGAGTTGTTATCAGGAAGATGCTGCTGCCCATCGCGTGTTTCAGTTCCCTCGGTCGCCTCTTGCGGCACCCACGGGATGCTATGGGATAGTGGGTATTCTAACACCGCCATTACACGGCCTATGTCTCTGCGCTTTCGTATTTATCATTCGTATACTGCCCGGTTTTATGCTTTTCTGAACAGGCCTGCGATTGCTCTAATGTTATTACATAAGTCAGAACATACTTGTTTCGTTTTTATCCTCTCTATGACATAAATGTTCAGTCCAAGCCCATTTGAGCCCTGTTATTCTCTGGTCATGCCAAGTCATTATTTTAGATTTCTTCTCATGCCTAGCAAAGATATTTAGAGCATACAGCATTGTGATATTTTAAACATTTGAAAAGAATGCTTGTGTGAAGTGATCTTTAGTAAGACGTGCGGATGGTGGGAGGCGCCGTGTCGTCTCCGCACGTGACCTACCCGGCGCCCACCTGTAGTTCAGTTGATGTGCCCATTTCGTTAGTACAGTGTGTGTGCATAGGCGGTACCAGGTTTGTTTTGATTTTATAATTTACCTAACTTTGTCGCATAACATATTATTTTGTATATAAGATGTCTTCTATGTACGGATTATCTGTACGTGACAAAAGTTGAGATTGTATACTAGATATATTTGATAGTGACTAAAATTAGGATAAATTCATAAATTATCAAGAAGGTATATTAGTTAATTTATTATACGTCATATACATATTTAAGTTAATTATTAAATATTTTAATTAGTTGTGCTATTTTGGAAAAGCGCAAAAACAATTTTTTCTGTCGCACTTATGTGTTTTTTATAAAATTCCAATAATAATTTTACGAACTAAAATATAATATATGGAGATTATTATGTAAATAATTTAGAAATCTTATTGGATATTTAGAAAATAACAATAGTACTTCTAATATTTGCAACCACAAATGCATTTCGTTTCATTCGATGACTTGCTATTCAAAAATATTTTAAAATATACTTTATTCAGACTTATGAACGACTAAATATATTTATTCACTCCAAAATTTGGGTAAAATGAGATTTAAACCTGCACATGTAGTTAATAACACGTGCACATAGACTGCCAACATGATATCCTATAAGTAGCAGGCTTTATAATCAAAAACTAATAAAATTTAGGGTTGTTAGTACACATGTTAATACGCCTTATACATAATATTACAAACATTAAAAACCTTCCAAATTATTACAATCAGTCTCCATTTATAAGGTAATCTAAAACACATATTTTTTTTATACATAAAAGACGATCTCCTGTATCGTGGAGACGTTTCATATACGAAATATGCACATGAACATAATATTCAGACTGGATTAATTTATTCTTATGATTTTTCACTTGGCTCATACATGGCACACAAAACTTCATCTTAAATTATATAGAATTGACAAATCATATAGTAGATCATTCCGTATTTTTTTTATTTAGATAATGCCATAAGGGTAAACCGGTCGGTATTTGTAAGCAATACAACTAATTGTTTTCGGGGTTTCTTGGGGGAGGCTTATGTTCAGCAGTGGACCTTCTGAAGAGCTGTAATCTTAGAGTATCTAAGTCTGTACTGGTAATGACATAAACACTTATTCGAATTCGATTCGAACCTGCAACTCTAGAGCGTCGCATTTAAATGCTTTCGAGGCGTAAAAGCTTACGTCCTAAATGTACATATTTGTCAAACACAAACTCAATTCACCACACCTTACCAGGAAAACAGCATGATGAGAGAGTGTATTGCGATTTAAATGAGATGCGCAAGTAAAAGTGCTTCCGCAAAAATGTTTGTTGCGATATAAATTATGCATGAGTGAACTAAACGGACACTACATACCACTTCACCGTAACTGTAGTAGCAAGTTTAGTAATGCAGTAGTTTAGTAGTTTACGTATCATTGTCTAGGGAATTACGTAAATTACTGGCGCGGATTTTTGGTGGAACATAAAATTTTGAAGATTTATTTTACATTTTTTACTACAATTACTGTCATGTCAATATTCTAGGTCATTTAAAAATATAGATATCTTCAAAATATACAGCATGTAATAAAAACCGTGTGGTTCCTGTTAAGTGTAGAAATCAGTATCCAAACGTGTAGAAATAACTTCACTTTGAACACTCCACCTTTTTTTAATAGAATAAGGGTGGCAAACGATCACATAGTCTAACTGATTTTAAGTGATTGCTGTGGCCCATAGACATCTACATTTAGAATCAAAACGCAGATGCGTTGTCTGTCACCCCTGAGGACTAAAATGGAATACCTCGTTTCCAGTAAAAAGGGGTCTCCGAATCTCTACACTTATCATACGTAACACAGCAGCATTAAGCTGTTATTTTACGCGGGTGTTCTGTAAAACGTGGTCCTTCCCCGGTCGAGCCGACCTATTCGTGCTACAACTATACTACTAATATAGCTACAGCATGGCTCTACCATTAATTTTTATTTGCACATTGTATGTGGTTTTATTACCTCTGCATTGACCAGGGAATAAGAGTGTTGTCAAAGACCCCGCCTTACCTATGCACGTATCAGTTAGAGGTAATGATTTTTCATTATTTTACTGACGTTTCTTATGAAATAAAGTTATTTAATTTTAAATGTTGATAATGCATTTAGCGAAAATCGCAGGGTTTTTGTATAGAGTCCACATATTACGTTGCACTATTGATCAATTTCTTCTCCCACGCTGTGAATCACGAATTGTGTACTAATTCCACCAATTGATTATATAGTTAAAAGTTAAAGTTACAGCCTATATACGTTCCACTGACGGGCACAGGCCTCCCTCATTTCTGAGACGGTTTTAGGACAAGGAAGTCCACCGCGCTGCCCCAATGCGTGTTGGCGAACTTCAAATGTCTTTGAAATATTTTTTTTCTTATTTCTTAGACATGCAGGTTTCCTCACGATGTTTCACTTCACTGCCGAGTACGTGCTAAGTCAGCACTTAAAATTACAACTGACAATCTCCACGGGGACTGGTCATCTGCGCAGGACAAAATTATAATGCGCGAGTATATGCGCAAGCACAGGAGCCCTCTCTATAGGTCGTCGTGACTGGGACTGTAATCCAACACGACCGGAGAAAGAAAAAAGTACAGAGTATTTACGTGCTTTCCGAGGCACGGGGGTGAAACACTATGTATAACTATTTTTTAATTTTTTGACTGTCTATGTCTAACTGTTCGGGCTAATCTTCAATATGACATGATACATTCAGTCGATTAAAACTGATTCAATAATTTAATATTGTAATCAGTTTTAATCGACTGAATGTAAAGAATTTTATACGTGGTGGAGCCACGCTGCAGCTATATTATGGTTGTAGCATGAATGGGCCGACTCGACCGAGAAACGGCCACGTTCTCAAAGAATACCAACGAAAAATATCACCTTAATAGTGATGTGTTTCTTATGATGAGTGTAGAGAACCGGAGACTCTTTTTTACTTGAAACGAGGCATTCCACCTTAGTTCTCAGGTGTGACAACGCATCTGCGTTTTGATTCTCAATCGAGGATAAATGTAGATGTCTATAGGCCTTATGTGCTTGTTTGTCACCCATCATCTATAAAATGTAACATATTATGCGAGAAACATAAACTTTGAAAAAAAAAACGTTTAGGTATAGAAGAAATGGTGTTAGATTATCTTAAATTAGATTCTACCTAGGCGAAGTCGCGGCTTATCGCTAGTAAATAAATAATGATCATCAGGTGTCTGAAGTAATCGTTGACTGTAATTACTATAGTCTAGAATCTAGAACATAATTAGTTTACTAATGAATCCTCACAAGTCGTAAGGATTATTGTTTACATTGGGTCACCACCAGTCGGCCTTGTGTGATTGTCACATTGATGTCATAGGTACTACATAAGTAAAGCCATTGATGTGTATAAATGTTTATTTGTTACCCGGTTTATCGGCGTCTTCACTGGAAATACCGGTTTTTAAATATTGCCAGCCACTTCGATTATAAATTGAAATTATTAAGTAATGGGCAAATATTTGAAGACCAATCCATTCATCAAAAATTATGTGCATGGCCACTACTCTTACATTTGTATTTTTTATAGAACAAGGATGAGAAACGAGCACTCAGTCCACCTGATAGTAAGTGGATGCCGTAGCCCATCTACATCTACATCTAAGTGGGCTAAGTTGGAATGCCTGGTTTTCATAAAACACACCATACGAAACACAGCATTACGCGGTTATTTTACGCTGGGATTCTGTGTTTTGGCATTCTGTGATTCTCGTATGCATATAATTCCGACCGATACGACTTTGGGACCTTCTTTTACTGAAAACGAAGCATTCCATCTAAGTCCTCACGGGTGACAACACATCTGTCTTTATTAAATTCCGGCAATGCACCTGCAATTCCCTGGTATTGCAGATTTTCATGGGTGACGGTGATCACTTACCATCGGGTAAGCCGTATCCTCGTTTGCCTTCTCTTCGATATTAAAAAAAAAACTTATTTAAAAAGACACTCACTGGGTAAACCGGTTGAAAGATATTATTTTTTATCACATTGTTTTTTTGTTTTAATTAGGTTTTTTGGCATGAGATATGGTAATGTGTTTTTTCTTTAACATCTTTAATGTATACACAAGTCACAGATATCTATAGACATCTTTTTGGATTACATCTTGTTATGTGTGATTGAGCCTTAAATTATCGTACCATCTATCCGTAGAAACCCACAGCTGGTCGTCTCCTGTTGTAAGGAAGATTCAGTTTAATCGTCAGGCTTTAATCTTAACGTAGTAGAGCCACGACGCAGCTATACTATGGTTGTATCACGAGTTGGTTGACTCGACCGGGGTAGGACCAAACTCTCGAACAATACCAGCGTAAAATAGCAGCTTAATGCTGCCGCGTGAATGTAAAGAACTGGAGACCCTTTTTACTGAAAACGAGGCTTTCTTAATCCTCAGGTGTGACAACCCATTTGCATTTTGATTCTTAATCGAGGATAAAAATGTAGATGTCTATGAACCACAGCATCAACTTACCATCAGGTGGACTGTGCGCTCGTTTGTCACACATATTTTATAAAAAAATCTCTCGGCAAGCGGAAAGACGATCGCAGAACCAGACGACTCGCGCCTTGTCTCATTCCCCCGCCGCCGCCGCCGCGACTGCGTATTGATATCTGGCGTACCTACCTACACGATAGAATTATACCGCCATCTGTCGGTACTATAACTATCACTATGAGATTTTTCTGGCAATCCCCACAGTCGCCTCTTAAAATATAAACACGATTCAAAAAGGGTTGAGGAGTTCTCTCTCGCCATCACCACACGGCAATGAGGGGTAATAATCTTACGCTCACCAGAGGTCGCTAGTTGACATTGAGCTGAAGTTTTTTGTTACACAAGGTCATTTAATTGAGAAGTTAGTTTTAAATATAAGTTAATCAGTTTCTAGAGTATTATATTAGTGGAAAAAAAACAATGTTTTAGTTTAATAGCCCTAGTTT